TTCTTGAAAACCTCCAGTGATGGAGCACCCACGACTTCTGGAGGCAGGTTGTTCCCCTGGTTAATTGTTCTAACTGTCAGGAAGTTTCTCCTTAGTTCTAGGCTGCTTCTCTCCTTGATGAGTTTCCATCCGTTGCTTCTTGTCCTGCCTTCTGGTGCTTTGGAGAATAGGTTGATTCCCCCCCCCTGTATTTTGCAGCAGCCCCTTAGATATTAGAAGACTGCTATCATGTCACCCTTCTTCTTTTCACTAGACTACTGCAACACAGTGTTGGTAGGGCAGCCCTTAGAAGCTACAGAATACAGAATAACAGAGTTGGAAGGGACCTTGGAGATCTTCTAGTCCAAGGGTGTCAAACTCCATTTCATTGAGGGCCACATCAGCATTGCAGCTGCCTTTGGAGGGCCGGGTGGGTGCAGCCTACTGGGTGGGCGTGGTCAGCTCTCCATCGTTCGCGTCAAGGGTGCCTGTGGGGGCCTGGGCAGGAGTGGGACAGATCTGAGGGTGTCTGCCAGAAGGGGGTGGGACCGGGGCAAGCGCCAAGGCAGGGTCCACTGGAGGAGCCTCACTGTTCCTATCAGGCCATGCAGAGGGGATCTGGATGGTGGTGCAGGCTACCGGGAGCCCTGGACAGCAGAGGTCAAATATATTTGCTGGCCACTTCCAGGTGATGGTCCATTTCTTCATTCCTCACAAAGGGTGACACCTCCCCAGCATGCACCCAGGGGACGGGGCCGACGCGGCAGGGGCTGGTTCATTGCTGTTTCCAGACGATCTTGTGGAGCTAAGACTGAATGCGTTTCAGCATAGATGGCCACCACAAAATTGCACATTGGCTCCTGGCCGGCCTGGGCCAGGGCCAAGGCAGCGGGGGCCGTTCCCTCACTGTTTCCAGGATGGCTTCGTGGGCCACATGAAACCACTTCGCGGGCCACATCCGGCCCCCGGGCATTGTGTTTGACATGTCTGATCTAGTCCAACCCCCTGCTCAGGCAGGAAACCCTATACCATTTCAGACAAATGGTTGTCCAATCTCTCCTTTAAAACTTCCAGTGTTGGAGCACTCACAACTTCTGGAGGCAGGTTGTTCCACTGGTCAATTGTTCCAACTGTCAGGAAGTTTCTTCTTAGTTCTAGGTTGTTTCTCTCCTTGATGAGTTTCCATCCGTTGCTTCTTGTCCTGCCTTCAGCTGCTTTGAGGGAATAGGTTGACTCTCTCTTTCTTGCGACAACTCCTAAGATATTGGAAGACTGTTATCATGTCTCCTTTACTCCTTCTTTTCATTAAACTTGCCATATCCAATTCGTGCAACTGTTCTTTATATGTTTTAGCCTCCAGTCCCCTAATCATCTTTGTTGCTCTTCTCTGCACTCTTTCTAGAGTCTCAGCATCTTGTTTATATCGTGGCGGCCAAAACTAGACATGAAGGAGACAATGTCCTTCAGTCGGCTGTTCAAAAATGCGACGGGAAGAGGATAGCTCCAGAAACTCGGAGGAGATCAAAACTGAGATCCCTTACATCCAGCAAATGATGATTTCCTCGGACTCCGCAAGAACCGTTGTGGCTTCTCTGCTTCCAGGGTGAAGAGGCGAGGATTTATCTTTCCCTTCCGATGCTCAGCGGGAGTCATGCAAATCGCATGCAAAATTGATGAGCGCCACATTGGCATCTGCTAAGGCAATCTCGTTGGCTTCCAGGGTTCCTGCTGTGGGTGCACCAGGTTGGGATATTAGCTTGTTTTATTGATGCTCTGCGGAGATCTCAACCGCCTGCCTTTGGTTTCCACCATCTGCTTTCAGACCCAGAGAAGACAGCCAGAGAAAGATGAGGCAAGGTCATGTGGAAGGAAAAAACATGGCCTCCTTGGGCCTCCATCTTTGGAGACCCCTGCAGCTCCAGGAGTCAGAGTAATAATAATAATAATAATAATAATAATAATAATAATAATAATAATAATAATAATAATAATAATAATAATAATAATAATAATAATTAACAACAACAATAATAATAATAATAATAATAATAATAATAATAATAATAATAATAACAACAACAATAATAATAAAGTTGGAAGGGACCTTGGAGGTCATCTAGTCCAATCCCCTGCTCAGGCAGGAAACCCTATACCATTTCGGACAAATGGCTGTCCAGTCTCTTCTTAAAAACTTCCAGTGTTGGAGCATTCACCACTTCTGGAGGCAGGTAGTTCCACTGGTTAATTGTTCTCACTGTCAGGAAGTTTCTCCTTAGTTCTAGGTTGCTTCTCTCCTTGATTAGTTTCCATCCATTGCTTCTTGTCCTGCCTTCAGGCGCTTTGGAGAATAGCTTGACTCCCTCTTCTTTGGGGCAGCCCCTGAGATATTGGAAGACTGCTATCATGTCCCCCCTCGTCCTTCTCTTCGTTAAACTAGACATATCCAAGTTGAATCTAAACCCCACCCAGATCCAAACCAAAGATGAAAGATCGATCAATCAGAATAGAGCTGGAAAGGGACCTTGGAGGTCTTCTAGTCCATGCCAAAGCGGCAGAGGATACAGCTGCCTCCAGTGATGGAGCACCCACGACTTCTGGTGGCAAGCTGTTCCACTGGTTAATTGTCCTCACTGTTAGGAAGTTTCTCCTTAATTTAGGTTGGATCTCTCCTTGATAACTTTCCATCTTATTTCTTGTCCTGCTGTCAGGAGCTCTGGGGAAAAGTTTTCTCCTCTCCTCCTTGTTTTATTCTTTCCCTCTTTTTCTAGTCTTTTGATTTTCATTTTACATTCAGAAAAATGTTAGTTCAACTTAAAATTGCTGAGAAGTTGTATGATTCTTTTCCAAAGGAATAGGCATAAAAACAACTCTTGAAGCAACATCAGGCTGGCAAGTCCACCATAATTTTATGGATGTGGGGGTAGGAGGGAGAGATTCCAGCTTTCTTTTTGGAAGGAGAATTTCCTTTTGGGTAGGAACAAGTAAACACGAAAAGAGGGGTGTTGAAGCCAAGTTTTGTCCACCTACCAGTTGCAAATCTGAATATTTGCATGTGAGTCACATTATGTTATTAAAGCTATGTAGACATCCAGTGAAGCTTCCCTTAATCAGAACAAAGTGTTAAGGGAGCTTTGGGATGGGATGGGATGGAATAGAAAATATGGAATGGAATGGAATAGAAAATATGGAACGGAATCGAAAGGAATGGAATAGAAAATATGGAATGGAATCGAATGGAATGAAATGCAATGGAGTGTAGAGTAGAGTAAAATAAACAGAGTTGGACAGGTTGGGGATCACATGACCTCAGAACACTACAATTATCATAAACACTTTGTCAAAGAAAGTTTCAACGAAACTCATGATGTTTCGGCCATTTCTGTTTCTTGGCTTGCCTACAGACCCAGGGAGGGGAGGGGGGATAATAATAATAATAATAATAATAATAATAATAATAATAATAATAATAATAATAACAACAACAACAACAACAACAACAACAATAATAATAATAATAATAAAGCTGCTGCAAGAAGATCGCACAGACTGACTACAAGCAGCGGCATGACAAAGTAGCAACAATGGTGCATTGGAAGATCTGCAAGAAATATCATTTGCCTGTAAGCAAGAACTGGTGGGATCATAAAATAGAGAAAGTCATAGAAAATGATAAAATTACACTGCTCTGAATTCAGAATTCAAACAGACAAGCACCTGCAACATAACACCCCGGACTTAACAATTGTTGGTAAGAAAGACAAAAAAGTCTGGATTATGGACATGGACAGCAGAATAGACAAGAAAGAACTGGAGAAGATAACAAAATACAAAGACCTACAAATAGAAATAGAAAGACTGTGGCAAAGGCAAGCAAGGGTAGTACTAATAGTCATAGGCGCCTTGGGTGCAATCCCAAAACAACTGGAGCACCACTTGAACACCATCAGCATTGACAAATTCGCCATTAGTCAATTGCAAAAGGCAGCCTTACTAGGAACTGCTTCCCTCCTGCGACGATATCTGTAATGCCATCAAACATCCACATCTGCCTATCCCAGGTCCTTGGTAAGGACTCGATAAGTAGACTAAAATGCCAAATCCAGTCTGAACATCTGGCTGACTGTGCGATGATCCATAATAATAATAATAATAATAACAACAACAACAACAACAACAACAATAATAATAATAATAAAGCTGGAAGGGACCTTGGAGGTCATCTAGTCAACCCCCTGCTCAGGCAGGAAACCCTGTACCTTTCCAGACAAATGGCTGTCCAGTCTCTTCTTAAAAACTTCCAGTGTTGGAGCATTCACCGTTTCTGAAGGCAGGTTGTTCCACTGGTTATTGAATAGAATGTGCATTTGTAGGAGTGAGTTGTGAAGTCTGGGAATCAAGCCCTTCAGATTATTTACTATGTAACGGAAGATTTCTCTCATAACAATCGTCTGATGCTTAACTGGGGGATGTGACTTGCATTGTCAGGGGGAAGGGGAGTTTCTACGCTTTTAATTTACTGTTCTGGCGCCAATTTAACTAGAACTGGTTTTCCACTCATCTGTGCCGATATGGTGTGCTCAATAAAGTTTTGCATTAGAGATTGGAAGGTCTCAGCTGTGCTTATTTCATTGGGATCATCAATTGGAACCTTGACACACATGCTGTGTGCCATGCACCCAAATTTTGACCCCATAGTCGTGGGGAGGCAGTGATGCTGGCTAGTGTGAGGCAGAGTTGCAAGTCACTTTTGCTCAGGGCCATTGTAACTTCGAACAGCCACTAAAGGAATGGTTATAAGTGGAGGACTACTTGTATATTCATCAGTTCCTTTCAAAGTCAAGTCAAGATAGATCTGTGCTGCTGGTCATAACTGGTTTAAATCAAAGCAAATGAACTTGGATGATAAAACCATTCATGATGGCCACCCTAACAGCTGAAAAGAAAAGAAATCACATCACATCACCCAGTTAGACAAACATTCTGTGGGGTCCTTCGATCAAAGTATCAACCAATTTACTTACCCAAGAAATCCAGCCCAGTGGTGTCCTTGGTAGAACTCATGCAATTCTCCAGGTAAATCCCATCCTTAAAACAATTGTCCTGCTTTTTGGTTAAGCCAAAGATCTCACTGGGTTGATCCAGCACCTCTCCACTGAAACAAGAGCATGGTGTCTGCATGATGCCACAAGGGTGTGAGCTGCTGCTGGTGGTCAAGCAAGTATCCAGCCATTTACACAGCATCTGGCAAGCGGCTTTGCTAGGGCTTCTGTTGCCAACCACAAGATACTCAACCGAGAAGTCTCTTTCCTGAATCTTGGCCGGTTTCCACCTGATCCACCCGCTGTCCACTTTGGACAGAGTCTGCTTCATCTGGAGGAACTGCTTGTTTGACTGGAGGAAGGCGTAGCGGGTAGAACCGTCGCAAAGGTTCAACACGTCATCAAAGCTTTCCATGCCCAGGTACGTCCGTGTGGACTCCAAGAAGGAGTCAAATTGGTACGTGCGTATCTGCTGGTGGTCGCAGAGACCCGAGGGCTTCAAAACCTTCATGTACAATGTGTATCTCCTAGGATCGGGGTTCTGGATAATCCAATTGCAGCGGGAAGCGTTCAACGGGAAGACGGCAAAAGAGGAGAAGTATCCAAAAAACTTGCCCTGGACCAAGGTGGTGCAGGGCGAAGGTCCCAAGTCAAGGGCCACCACGGTCCACACTAAGAACGGTGGCAACAACCAAAGCAGGTTCAAGGAATATCTATTGCTCCTCCTCATCCTAGTCCCCTGGTCCTTTGGAACTCAAAGCAATTGCCAGGCAAAGTGCAGATCTTGGACATAACAGGAGAAAGAGGGAGAGAGAGAACCGGCCCCCAGTTCAGTGGCAGATGAATCCAGCCTTCTCACGTCGGGATTCGGGTTCTTCCTTGTGGCTCGGACAAGCAACCCTACAGAGAGAAGAGAAACCATAGATTTCATGAATTTGGAGAATGCAACATGGCAAAAGGCAGTGAGGCCCAGATCTGCCTTGTAAGAACATCTAAAACAGGCATGTCAAACTCGCGATGTCATGTGACGGCGCACGACATATTGTGACTTTTCCCCCATTGCCGGCAATGGGGTGGGCACGGTTTCGGCGTGACGCATCCAGCCCGCGGCCTGGCAGTTTGACATGCCTGATCTAAAAGATACCACTAGAACGTAGAATCATAGGGTGGGAAGGGAAGATCTTGAAGGTCTTCAAGTTCAACCCTTAGACACAGAGATCAGCTGCCTTTCATTTTTAGGGAGGAAGTTTAAAAAGACCGGGATAAATTATGAGGAAACTTGGAAGTCATACACGTAGAGGTTTACCTGTGTCCTCCGGGTCACCTGAGTAATGCAAGTGTGTGTGGAGCCTTCTTGACTGTAGAATGTTTTCTGTTTTGTATGCCTTCACTGCTGAAGACAGGTGCAGGCTGTAAGGAATGAGCCTGTGTTATCTGCATCTCAAACTGAAGCACAAATGGTTCCCAAGGACACAGGTAAACCTCCAAGTGGCCTCAACGACTCTCTAAAAGAATGCAAATGACCAGCTGTCTGCAAGGAGTATAAATCCTGCCATTCCCCACCATCCAGTCAGAGCTGGAAGATAGATGATCTCCATAGACCAGGGGTCTTCAAACTTGGCCCTTTTATGACTTCTGGACTTCAACTCCCAGAATTCCTCAGCCAGGCATGCTGCCATAGACATTCCCCTGTTTTCTGCGACAGCCCCTCAAATACTGGAAGACAGCTACTTAGTATAGATATTAAGGCCGTATGGAGCTTCTGCTCACAGTCCAAGGTCACACCTGCTTGTGTAATACACTCCCCTCCCTTCTCTGCTAAGGGCTTATGACACAAGCTATCTTCTTCCTCTTGAAGGTGTTTTTCAAGCAAGGCCGTACGAGCCAACTCTATCTCCACAAATACACTTTCTCTAAATACCAGCACAGATGTACACCTGACCTTGCCTGTAGATCGTCATGAAGAGCTGCAGTAAGCAGAACTGTTGGACAATCTCACTTCAGTACCACCCACGCTGCCATGTACATCATACCACCCACAATGTGCACTACACACAACCTGGAACACAGATATACCATCCGTAGTGTTAAAAGACCTGAAGAAGAGTCTAATATACGCTTGCGTTGACTAGAACAAGGTGGCATGGATTCATATCTCCATAAGGTTTCCTTTTGATTTCTTTTTAATCTACATCACACCCCAAACCAAGCTTTCTATTTATCTTGACCAGCAATTTCTGGGACTCCTTCTAGCTGTGAGTCCTTAAACTGTTGTGTCTCAATATCTGTAACATGCAATCAATCAATCAGAATAGAGCTGGAAGGGACCTTGGAGGTCTTCTAGTCCAGCCTCCTGCTCAAGCAGGAGAACCTATACCATCTCAGACAAGTGATTGTCCAGTCTCTTCTTAAAAACCACCAGTGAATGGAGCACCCACAATTTTTGGAGGCAACTTCTGTTCCACTGGTTAATTGTCCTCGCTGTTAGGAAGTTTCTCCTTAATTCCTGGTTGCTTCTCTCTTTGGTTAGTTTCCAACCATTGTTTCTCGCCCTGCCCTCTGGTGCTTTGGAGAATATTCGTGACCCCCTCTTCTTGGTGGCAGCCCCTCAAATACTGGAACGCTGCTATCATGTCGCCCCTGTTTCTTCTTTTCTTTAGACTAGCTAAACCCAAGTCTTGCAGCTGTTCTTCATATGTTTTAATCTCCAGGCCTTGGATCATCTTAGTTGCTCTTCTCTGCACTTTCCCCAATGCTTGTTGCATCTGTAGTAGCACCATATGCTAAGCTTGCTTTGATTTAATCTTTGGGTCATGGGAAATTAGATAGTGGTCTGCAAAATATTTCAGGACCAAAAACGTCTCCACGTTCCTCATGTGCCAGCACACTGGGGAGCAAAACCCCTTGCAGCAACAGACAATCAACTAGATCAAAGCATCTCCCACCTGAGCTGGATGCGAAAGTCTACATAGCCAGTTTGCAAGTTTCTGTAACCTAACTTTGATCTACCTTTGATTTCTGGCTAATGAGGCTTTGTGGGAATCTAGTCTTCTTGGTTAGGAGTGGCTGGAAAGGGAGTTAATTTTGGGAGAGGCGGTAGCCTTTTGCAAAAGCCCATTTTAATTTTTGTGAGTTTATGGCTTGCTGTATTGTACAAACCATGCACTTCCCACATTCAGCGCAATGCCTGATTTTGAGGGGGGGTCTTATAGCAGCGCTTACCTTTTCTTTACCTCTTGACAGGTGAGACAAAGCTGAGCCTTAGAAGTCAAGAAGAGTGTGGTGTCTTCAACACGATTTGGTTGCTAATTTATTTATTTTTGTCTGACCTTTATTCTTTTTTATAAATAACTCAAGGTGGCGAGCATACTTAATACTGCCACCTCCTCTTATTTTACCTACAACAACAACCCTGTGAGGGCAGTTGGGCTGATAGAGAGTGACTGACCCAAAGTCACCAACCTGTTTTCCTGTCTAAGGTGGGACTAGAATTCACAGTCTTCTAGTGATTGGGCCACAGTCACCCAGCTGGCTTTTATGCCTAAGATGGGACTAGAACTCACAGTCTCCCGGTGATTGGTCCAAAGTCACCCAGCTGGCTTTCCTGTCTAAGGCGGGAATAGAACTCACCATTTCCTGGTTATGAGCCTAAAGTCACCCAGTCAGCTTTCATGCAAAAGGTGAGACTAGAACTCACAGTCTCCTGGTGATTGGGCCAAAGTCACCCAGTTGACTTTCGTGCCTAAGACACAGTAGTGGGATTCAGCCAGTTTGCCCCACTTCAGCAGAACCAGTAGCTAATTTTTTGTTGCCAGGCCCAGAATGGACTTCCGGAAGCTGCATTCACATAGAGAACCAGTTGTTCACATATTTGAATCCCTCCACTGCTAAGGCAGGACTAGAACTCACCATCTCCCAGTTTTTAGCTTGGTGCCTTAACCACTAAACCAAACTGACTATCAATAATTAGAAAAAGTTGTAGGTTGAGAGCCATGTTAGTCGATGAACTTTTGATTTTTAATAAAATGGAGAAGCAGGAGGAGGAGGAGGAGCAGGGGGAGGAGGAGGAAGGGGAGGATTATGACTATGGGGTCCTTGGTGCTCTCTGAGGTTGGTTGTTTTCTTGCAGACGGTTCATTACCAACTGTGGGAAGTCATCCCCCCAGAGAAGGAAATATTAAAAGGGCAGAAAAAATATATTTCCTCAAAGGATCTTAAAAATGCAGGAAAGCATGCCCAGTTTTTCTTTGATAGCCCCAAGTCTCCCTTCCCCAAGCAAAAATCAGCTCTATAGAGATGCAGATGTAAATCCAGGGAGCTAGGAGATTAAGAAGACAAAGACTTAAAATCTACATACCCCATCCAAACTCTAAGAGTCATCAGCCCCAGCCCCAGGGAAGCAGAATGTGACCCTTGGAACATAATAGGATTAACCCATCACCATCAGAATACCAGAAAGGCACACTCAGACTCAGGTCAAAGTTCATGCCACGGGAACAACTATACAAACAAAAGGCTCCAGAGGGTATATAAACCCACTCCTTACATGTGTTCACCCCTTTTTTTCTCTCCTCTTTCCTGCCAGAACTATCTTTCTGTCTGGCTCTTCAATAAACTGCAACCTTCTTTCTAAAGCAGTCACCATGTTGTTTATCCCCGGCTTGGACTGGACCATGATGAAGACTTTTCTTTCAACACAACCTAGGTAACATCATCAGTGCTAGGAGAGAGTGGGGTTTGGTCTCTTTTTATATACAAATGACTAAGATTACGGTTAGGGTTGACCAGAATAAACAAATGTTTTTCTGCAGATTATCATCCTTTGCCAGGGCAAACCATCCCTTCCCATCCCATAAATGGACCCATGAACCCATCATCAGCAACAGCTGTCTTCCCTGGAGAACCGCGCTGATTGATTCCAGTCTGTCAAGCCACACAGAAAGGCTGGGCACTCCTTTCTCTGTTTGCTTCCTGCCGCTCTCACCCTGCCACGCGCATCTGAGTAGCCAACAAACTTTAACTAAACATCCTTTGCTAATAGGATGCTGGGTTTCGCCTGTTAGAGCCCAGGATCGATTTCCCTTAAACGGAACCCCATCTGGAAGGTTTTACTGCAAGGGAGGGAAGCAGCTTTAATCTCCCCTCCAGCTGAACCCTGGCAGGGTGTGCAAATATAAAGAGAGAGAGGGGGGGGGGAAGGCTTAACTGCACCAGCACATAAAATGAAAAAAAAAAGAAAATCTCAGCTAAACACCTGGATTTCCAGCATAGCTGGCAATAAATCCGCTCCGCTCTTGGCTCAGCGGCTGAATTGAGATACGAAATGTTCCGCTTGCTCAATTCCACACCGGGTTTGTATAAAAACACCCGAGAAGGGCCTTTCCTAAAAAAGAAGATTTTTTTTCCTTTAAAAGTTTGCTCTGTGGGACTTCTGCTACAACTCTCAGATGCAACATTGGCCTAGGGTTCAAGTGTCTTATTTTCTTGCTAAACTCCCCCAAATCCTCATGGTGAATATGCATAGATTCCAGGGAGGGAGGGAGGAAGGAGATGTATGACTGGAAGGACGGAGAGAGGGAGAGAGGGAGGGAGGGAGGGAGGGAGGAAATATATGGAAGGAAGGGAGAGCAGGAAGGAGGAAGGAAGGAGATGCATGACTGGAAGGAAGAAGG